TATCAAGAAAATAATACTAGAATTTAACATCGTTTTCAGATGACTTTTGGATTGGTTTATCATATGAAAGTAAATACCAAGGTTATAAAGACACATTGATATATAGTTTTTATCAAAACTAATACACAAAACCGTACGTTTATAAATACATACCATTTTATTTGTCTTAACTAGTCAGCAAAACATTTATCCTAACTAATTTAAAGATATGATTTAAAGATATGATTTATGGACACGCACGTTTTAATTAAATAAAATTGCATAGTTGTACTGTTTTTACAATCATACTACAAAATATTAATTATTCGCCCTTTTTGTTGATTCGACATCAAGCAAGAAAAAATGTTGAAGTAAAGCAGACGTTTTATCAAAACTACTGTCAAACTGTTCTACCTGTTTTCGTTTCTGTATCCGCCAATTAAGGCACTAAATACAGTTTGCGCTGTCGAGTACAAACCCCGGAAATACCACCATTTATAACCTTAAAGGTTTTATTTTGAAAAACAAAGTGGTAATAGTTAACATATATGCAATTTTCACGGAGTATTAGCCTAAGATATAAATTCTGAGACAATTCTGTGACACTTATATGGAACTAGATGATTAATACATGTCTTGTCCGGCAAAAACCCCAATTAATTCAGGTTTTTACAATGTTTGTCATGCTGTAATTTTAAACCGTTGCAACGTTTTTTTTGTGTCTGTAAATATTGACTTAAATTATACACACACCCGTTAACTGGTTGCAATTTGATCCGTTGGTTGCAGGCAGAAAGTTGTTCGCCTTCAATTTTTTGTTGCACAATATATCATGGAAATTTATGTTTATAAAAAATGACAAAAAAGAAGACCGTGCTTAACACTTATTTAAAACTGACATTTATATAGCAAGGTCTACCTGCATCAAGCTGTCCTACTTGTTACATGTTAACGGGTGTGAAAATAGGGGTGTAGTGAAAGGTAACCGTTATGTCACAGTCACCTCGTCGAAACTGCAAATTTTATTTTATTATGTTTTAAGACCCGTTTTGCGTGGGAGAGTAGCTTTAACGACAACGTATAGGATTTAGAATACGTTCAACAAAATCGTGGTTTCCGGTGAACTTTTTGTAGTCAAGGATTATTTTTAAAGAAATTTCCAAGAATTATTGAAAAATTCAGTAATGTCTAATTGGATCCTAATTGCTAATACAGTACTGCCTGTGGTGCGCTATATTGAATATCCCGTAGTATCACTCATAATGACAAAGCGTATCTTTCATTTTCAAGAAAAAGTTATTTTAACACCACGTTCTATTTTCTTTTTAATATAACCCTCTGTATAAATCACATATATTACTCCCTCAGAACAGGTTTTGACATTGTTGCAGATAAATCACGTGAAGCAGTTCCAAACAAAATTTTGAGTATTGCTCCAAAGTTCCATTAGTATAATAATTTGACAATGAATAATTAATTCCTTTCACGCACAATATTTATACTTAAAGATATTTGCCCCATATTAAGATTATATTCCAAAAGTTTTATAAAGAAATTCTCATAACATTTTCTATGAATAAACTTGTCGTGCATACTTAAATTAGAAAAGTCTTACTCAGATTTGTGTTTTAGAAGATGCAACAACAACAACAACAACAACAAGAAGAAGACACGTTATTTTGTATATATTAAATTGTTTGTAAAAATCTTTTGCGACTTGATGGATCTTATATGTTAATTTAACAGTCATGTTTTTGTATCTTGATTACTTTAACTTATATCATCTACAGCACTGTTTGTGTACGTAACTGTCACATCAAATAGACATTAAATTGAAAATTAGCACTTTTAATGTTAGATGTTTGTAAATTATTTTATTTTGGTAAAATATTTACAAGTATCAAAGTTACAAAATAGCTTGACATATTGACAGATGGAGTCAGTTAGTTCATTTTACAAAAACCAAAATATCAGTAACTTTCTATATATGATATGAAGATAATAAGTTATATAGCAGGTACATGTACGAAAGTTATACCACATTACATTAAACAAGGAAAAAGTTTAAACAAATACTATATTCCTTCATTCATTTCAATTATGTCTTGTTATAATCACATAATATATTATAAAATGTGATCGAATATTTAAATGAGTGCCATTATGTAATAATAATCGACATTACGCCGCCTGTCAATCAAGCTGGCAGGGGTTTTACATATAAGCCAATCGGCGATCGTTATCTGTGTCACGCTAAGATGTCTGAGAAGTCCGCCATTTTCCTTAGACAAGCTATTTGTATATGACAATGGTGCAGCAGTATTTATTTATATTGAAATTACTTTGATTTTTTTTGTCAATTTAAAGCTATTAAAGCAGTATATCTAAGTTACAAAATAGCTTGACACGTTGACAGATGGAGTCAGTTAGTTCATTTTACAAAAACCAAAATATCAGTAACTTTCTATATATGATATGAAGATAATAAGTTATATAGCAGGTACATGTACGAAAGTTATACCACATTGCATTAAACAAGGAAAAAGTTTAAACAATTACTCTATTCCTTTCTTCATTACAATTATGTCTTGTCATAATCACATAATATATTATAAAATGTGATCGAATATTTAAATGAGTGCCATTATGTATTAATAATCGACATTACGCCGCATGTCAATCAAGCTGGCAGGGGTTTTACATATAAGCCAATCGGCGATCGTTATCTGTGTCACGCTAAGATGTCTGAGAAGTCCGCCATTTTCCTGAGACAAGCTATTTGTATAAGACAATGGTGCAGCAGTATTTATTTATATTGAAATTATTTTGACTTTTTTTGTCAATTTAAAGCTATTAGAGCAGTATATCTAAGTTACAAAATAACTTGACACGTTGACAGATGGAGTCAGTTACTTCGTTTTACAAAAACAAAAATATCAGTAAATTTCTATATATGATATGAAGATAATAATTTATATAGCAGGTACATGTACGAAAGTTATACCACATTGCATTTAACAAGGAAAACGTTTAAACAAATACTATATTCCTTCCTTCATTACAATTATGTCTATTCATAATCACATAATATATTAAATATATTATAAGGTCTCAGAATATCCACATAATATGACATTTTTTGGTTTGTTTACAACATAGTGTCAATATAATGCTGCAGTAGAAAGAAGTACTTGCAAATAAAATGAGAAAATATGCAATAAATATTTTAGGTGAAATTATCCTACCTTAATATTTCTATTAAAGCTCAATGAATTAAGATTTAATATTGATTAAACACATCTGCTTCAATAACATCATATCTGATCACGGTTTTAATTGGAATAAGTATGCAAAACTTATTTTGAAGTGAATAATATTGCATTTTATCACGAGAATATCTAATGTACAAATATATATTTATCATATATCATACAATAAAATTACACAAGAGCATTTTTTCTCATTTAATTTTGACAATTTATGCACAAATGCATTACATATAAGTGATTTCGCACATAAAACCCCAAAAACATTTGTAAATGTTACTGTTTCATTGATTCGTAGGATTTATTTCATTTGTGAGTTTAAATTTCTTAATGTTTGATATTTGCTGATTATTTATTATTAAAAGATTAAATGTGAAGTTTTTCGTGTAACTTTTATGTAAACTGTATGTCTTGATCATATTTAGTATGTTGTAAATGTTCAAAGGCATTTATAGTGCAGGTTTTCAAATAAATGAAATGATATAAAAATTTTACTATAATTATATGTTCCGCTACATCAATTTTAACTATCTTTGAATTTGTATACTAAAATGACATTTTGTCAGTAACATTAAAGATCCTGTTACACAATTCTTTCATGGTTTTATTTCATAAAAATGATGCTCAAATTAAGATTTGTCAATATTGTACGTTCCAATAAGTGTTATTTATAAAGATATAATTCAATTTAACATTTCATGTAAATAAAGGGTGGTAATTAGAAATTTGTTTTTTATAAATTCTAAGTCAAATTTTCCAATAAGAAATGATAGCATGTAATTTATTGATTAAATATATTGTGCACAAATATTTGCAGTACACATTTTACATATTCTTCGATGTTTGAAAATTGTTTTATTTGCATAATTATATACATATATAATTTTTTGCAAGTTTGGTATACACACAGTAACTATATCAATCACAAAACATACAGGATGTTTAATGCGTGAATGCAGTTGTTTGTTACTTTTTTAAATATCATAAAACATTGAACTATTCAATAAAAGCATTAAAATGTTATATATACCAAATTAAATAAGGTAAATTCATTTGTCACTTAAGTGGCATGACAGTTACGCGTAAACGTCGGTACCGTCTTTTGTCTAAGGTTCTGAATGACCAGGTCACGTTAATTAGTGGGCGGAGCAATCTCTTCTCTGGCGTAATGTCAATAAAATCAGACAATATTTTTGTTTTGTCTGTTCAACTGTGATACCTTGATCCGTGCGTTCCTTAATATTAATATCTGTGAATCTTTAGGGATTCCATTTTATCTATTTTGTTGATGATTATTTTCGGAAGAAAATTACGACTTTACAGTCTTATTTCATAACGTCCAGGAATACGAACGATTCATATCCGATTCTTTAGTATCTGTTTAAAAATGCTATTTTACAAACATTACATGGTCTGTAATTCGTACAAACTTAACTCTAGAATTTATCCCTTTTGTAGTGGTTCAATAAGGACAAACCTAACAGGACCATGATATAGATTTCTATTATTTCAATGAAATTCTCAAGGTAATATTAAATACTTTTTTTGTTACATCTTAATATTTTCCTTAAATCACAACTTATAGAGCTTATAAGTTACAGAGGGAAACAGATACACTTTATAAAATATTAATAGTTTAATTTGAATAAAGTTTTACTACGTGTATTTGAGGTATCAATAATTCAATTTAAAACTATTATTATCAAATGTATATGGTTTATATTAAAATGATGTTAACTACTGCATATATTTTCATATACATGCGTCGTTGAATTAAATGTTTAGATAAGTGAAACAAACTATTTAGATATGTTCAAATGGATAACGTTATGTAACGAAGCCTTAGCATCTTCGTATATAAAATCTATACAATAACATAATATTATAAAAAACACTTTATTATTTGTAGTTTGTAGGCTTTGCTGTTAGATTTGTTTTAATTCTACAGATGGATTCAACGGAACTTAAACAATTAAACGACAATGGCCTAAATGACACGGCTAGTAAAGAATTAATTCTGAGGAAACAAAATGATGAAATGGAGGAAAGTTCAGGTACAGAAGTTGAAGAAAAAGTATGGTTGGAATCGAAGAAAGAAGAATTTGAGCAGGACCGCGGTGAATGGTCAAACAAAATAGAGTTTTTGTTGGCAATAACGGGTTACACAGTAGGTATGGGAAGCGTTTGGAGATTTCCCATTGTTTGCAGGTAAGATATGTACGGCGTTCAAGATATGTACGGCGTTCTCGTAATTGTAATTATCATATTGAAAATAAAATTAAACAGCATTATGATCACGTGTTATCTGTTTTACGGGCAAATATTTTCATACTGCTGTGTTGGTAAAAAAAATTCAACAAAACCGGTGACCATGTTAACCAACCGGGCATACGATAATTGATAATTGAAATCTTTCAAAGATAATAAAAAAAAATTTCAATTTTCTAACAACTGCATATGTTATCAATATAGATGACATGCGATGCAAAAGTTAGTATAAGCTTTTTGGATATGGAATGGTATTAGCTTGCAAATGTGATTTCTATCCTTGTCTTTCATATTTAAGTAAAGTAAGAACACTTACAAAATTTTGCTTCCAATTTGGGTACTTCATATGACACTTTTTTTGCGTTTACATATGTGCTTATTTCTGCCGAAAAAATTGCAATCGAACTTGTTTGTTCTCTGTCTGCTGTCTTCAGGCGAACTATCGGCGTAAAGATTTTTAAGCATATTCTCTCGCTTCCCTTGTTAACTTTGAATTTTATTAGGTTAACCTCAAAAGAATCTCAACCTTAAAATGTTTTATACGACCATGCAAGCTTACTCTTGTTTTTATTTTCTGCAGTCGGAACGGAGGAGGTGCCTTTTTAATTCCATTCTTTTTCTGCCTCATCACCTCCGGTGGACCTTTGTACTACTTAGAGGTTTGCCTTGGACAGTTTACAGGACAAAGTGCTGCACAAGCTTTTGAGTTTTGTTCATTGTTCAAAGGCAAGTTTACTTGGTAATAAATGTTTACCTTTATGTTAAGAGATACTGAGGAACTCGTGCAAGAGAAGTAGTGATATTGTGTAGCACCTCAATTTTTTCAGAAAAGATTTAGTAATTTCTACATGGTCGCCATGATTCAATCATTTTGATACAAAAATCTCTATAGATAAAGTAAAGAAATGAAAATGTACTTTTGTATTATTGTGTCAATACTTTTCCGTGCATTTAATCACATTAACTCATCATAAAGGGATTTTTAAAAGGTTTATCGACATTAAAATTAACTGTTCAAAAGTTAGTTTTATGCAGACTTTACTATTTATTTATCTGATAACAGGTTTAGGCATTCTACAAGTCATGTTGTCATTTACGGTGTTATGGTACGCGATCTGTGTTTTAGCCTGGGTTCTATACTTCTTGTACAGTTCTTTCCTACCCACACTTCCTTGGACAACATGTAATAACCCATGGAACACTGTTAACTGCACAGGTATTGTTTCGAATCGTTAATGTAAAACGACTGATAAAAAAATTGAACAAAGATTTGCATAAAAAATGTTGTTTTATATATATATTATTTTGTTTCTCAAATATTGATTAGACATAATATGATGACAAGCATGTTTGCAGATAATATTTCAAATTAAAGGACCATTGTTGAAACATTTTTTCCTGTAGAAGGAAAAAAAATGTCCGAACATCTATTAAAAGAAACTACGAAATTTGTTATTTTACCACCAGCCTATTATTGAAATATAAACTCTTGTGAACATTATTCGTAGGGGTGTGTTTTTATAATTTTGCTCTATGAAAACTTTTTGGAGCTGAGCGTCTTGAAAACTTAATAATATGAATGCATATTTTAGAAATTAATGGATTTTGTTTTATTTTAGTAATATGGGATACAGTTTCCAATAGATTTACAAGCACAAATACAGTCACAACAAACAGTTCATCCGTAAATGAAACTATTTTAACACAATCAAAATTATACAATTTGACAACCAACATGTTGATAGATCCATCTCAACTTCCTCAAACTAATATAACATCATCAGTCATGACATCCAGTTCTTCAGCCTACGAATTTTGGGAGTGAGTATATTTTATGTAAATGATCCCAACCACGTCATCGTTAATGAAACAACGTTAAAAATGGGCATGTGTTAACGTTTAAATAACATTGGGTCTATATTCGGAGTTGAAAGTTGAAACAACATTTAGTCTTAACGTTGATTAAAATTTTAAAAATTATTTGCTGGTATATAAATTTGTTATTACATTTTTCATGCAACACTCTCATTTGTGTTATTCATTAGATAATTGCATCTTAAATAAGTATCATTTGCTTACAATTATCAAATTGTGTTCCAATACATTGTTTTATCAAAATTTTGTATTTTGCATGTATATCAACTTCTAAAACACAGAGTGACTCTGCAGTTTATCATCAATTTATATCAAAAAGCTAATGGCAATATCAAATATACACAAAATCTTTTGTGAACCTAAAAAAAAACAACAGTTTTCTCACTCGTAGCTACGCCATTCGTGAGAATATTCTTTTTAAAGCTCACAAATTGAAATAAAATTTCATCTTACAAACAAAGAAAGAAAATTTTCTTTTAATTAAAAATATACGGAGCCCCTAAGGTGACATTCTCGACACTTTTCCCCCGGCATTTAATTCGTTTTTACGAAATATTAATTCGTATTTACGAAATATTAATTCGTTTTTACGAAATGTTATTTCGTAATTACGAAATATTATTTCGTTTTTTACGAAATATTAATTCGTATTTACGAAATATTATTTCGTAATTACGAAATGTTTTTTCGTAATTACGAAATATTATTTTGTTATTACGAAATGTTATTTCGTAATTACGAAATATTATTTCGTAATTACGAAATATTAATTCGTAAAAACGAAATGTTATTTCGTAATTACGAAATATTAATTCTTTTTTACGAAATCTTATTTAAGGTCATTTTGAGCTTGATAAAAAACCTATAAATCTCACAAATGGGTCATTTACATGCCTTGATCAACTTTGCAATTATAAGCCGAATGGTTCTCAAGTTATTATATTTAAGTGAACAGGGTTTTTGAGTGAGAAGTCATTCTCTATCCAAAATGGTCTTTGTTTCCCTATTGTCAAATACATGTTCCTATCAGCAATGTTTTAATGTTTGAGGCAATCTTTTACGACATGTATCTTTAAAACAGAAACATGCTATATTATTCCGTTCTTTTATCATATATATTAGTAAAACTAATGGGACAAGGGGGGGGGGGGGGTGTCCAGACTTTCACTAATCTAATCAATTTAAAATGAATATTTCTCACAATTTATTATTAGAAATGTCCGTGTTACGATTTGAAGCACAGGACCCCCATTTTAAGTAAACTTTCCTAGCGCGTGTACTATCACGGCTGTGGCTCAACGCTATTGACATGCGTTTATTTTAATTTATGTACAATAGTGTAAAGTTAAAAAACTTGGGGAGAACAAAAATCACTATTTATATTGCATGTACATGCCTTATATTAAGTCAGGAACTTAGTTTCGAGGCCTTATTTATAACTATTACCAAAACTCTTTGAAACGCTTGAAAAAATTAATTCGTTTTTACGAAATATTATTTCGTATTTACGAATTATTATTTCGTAATAACGAAATAACATTGCGTTTTTACGAATTAATATTTCGTATTTACGAATTAATATTTCGTAATCACGAAATAATATTTCGTAAAAACGAATTAATATTTCGTAATTACGAAATAATATTTCGTAAATACGAAATAATATTTCGTAAAAACGAATTAATATTTCGTTTTTACGAAATAATATTTCGTAATTACGAATTAATATTTCGTAAAAACGAATTAATATTTCGTAAAAACGAATTAATTTTTCGTAAAAACGAATTATTATTTCGTAATTACGAATTATTATTTCGTAAAAACGAATTAAATTCCGGGGAAAAAAGTGTGGAAAATGTCACCTTAGGGGCTCCGTAAAAATACAATGAAGATGCAGTTTAAATTTATTGTGCTACAAACTGTTTCTCACTCT